TAGTTGGCTATCTCTGCCTTCTTTAATTGCTAGCTTTGCCTGCGAGTCGACCCTCTCATTAATTTCGACTCCACAGTGCCCCGGGATCCAGTAGAATTGGATTTTTTTCCCTCGTGATTCGAGTCTCTCTGTTTTATCCTTTAGCATGTGGATGATGTGCGATGCGTTGCTTATTTTAGTGGGATTACCAATGCTTTGTAACACGCTTGCCGAGTCCGAGAAAATCGTGAAGTTTTGCCCGGATTCTGTTTTTTCGATGATTTCTAGTGTTTCGGCAATTGCTAATGCTTCTGCAGTGAATATGGACGCTATCTTGGATATTCTGAATTTCATTCGACGACCATCGTTTATATCTATCAGTGCCAATCCTACAAAAGGCTTGTCCACCATTTTTGAGCCGTCCGTGGCGAAACTTTTGCTGGTCCTAATTCTTTCTTGGAATATCTTGTAAAATTCCTTGTTATGATCTTCTGTTTCCTTTATTTGTCTTCCCTCATCGAACGATACTCTAGCCTCGTAGAAGAGACTTTCGTACGTGTAGTCGTAGGCCTTGGGACAGTTCCCTGATTGGATTAAATGCCCAAGAGGGGATACCTCTTTGTAACATTTGCTAATGACTGGTAGTTCATTTTCTCCTCTCCCTGGGTTATCGTGTAGAGCTGATAATTCTTCCAGCAGCTGGATCATTGGATGATTGGTTGATGTATAACACCTGGACACGTAGTTCTTTCCCAACTGTTTAAATCTACTAAAGATTGGGACTTCTTTGGCCTCAGCTAGCATTACATTGGTCGGGGTGCTACTCCTGTAACCCAGCGCTCCACGAATAGCCCTATATTGTATCTTCTCAAGCTTCTGAGCTTGTTTCTTCTTAAGTTTATGAAATAAAAATGCTCCATATTCCATCCTCGACCTTATCAGTGCCTTGTAGAGTCTAATTAAAATTACAGGATCCGCTCCCCACCAGGTGTGCTTCACACAGTTCATGATTTTCATCGGGTTTTCGCACTTCCTGACTATTGCGTTTATTTCGTCCTCCCAGTCTAAGTTGGATTTTAGGTGCAGACCTAAAAATTTTATTGATTTGACTGAGGAAACCTTTTCCCCTTGTACCTTAATCTCCCATTCTCCTTCAGTTGTACCTTTTTTATCGAAGATACACAGTTGACATTTTTTTGGTGCTATTTCCAAGCCACTTTCCTTTAGATAGAGTTCAATGCTTTGTATGCTCTTTTCAACTTCTGCCACACCAATTCTGCTACATCTGTGAACTGAATAAATTGCAACATCATCTGCGTATTCCAGGATTTTGCAGTTCTGGTTGATTTTGGATTTCAGTCCAGCCATATAAAGTGAATATAAGGTTGGACTCAGTACGCTACCTTGGGGTAAGCCTTTGTATGTCCAGTCTTTGAGCTCTACCCCCCCGTAGTTTGCCTCTAATTCCCTTGCGGAGACCAGGTTAAATATAAAAGCTATCAGGTTTCCCGAAAAGCCAACGGCTTTGAGTCTATCCATCAAAGTGCCGCAGTGGACGTTGTCATATGCGCTTTTAATGTCTAAGAATACGGCCGATACTGTGTTCCGTTCTTCAAACGCTTTTATTATTTCAGTTGTTAATATAGCTAGGTTGTCTGTGCAACCCTTGTTTCGCCGAAATCCATATTGTGATTCTGAGAACTTCATATTCTTCTCTAGCCACCAAGATATGCGCATGTTTATCATCCTTTCTAGCACCTTGCACACGCATGACGCCAACGATATGGGTCTTACACTAGTCTTATCTGGTTTAGGGATAAAGAATACTCTATATTTTTTCCAATCATCTGGGAACACTCTTGCTCTTAAAATGTCGTTATAAATTTCTAGCAGGATTTCTAAGGCTTCCTTTGGTAAATTGCGTATTATGGCGTAATCTATTCCATCCCGACCCGGGCAGGATCGGACTTTGAGGTTTTTAATTGAGTAGAGGAGTTCTTGGATTGTGTATTCTGAGTCGAGGAATGAATCCTGATTTTCGTAATCGAATGCCGGTGCTTGATTGGGTTCATCCACCCCGGAGCATAGCTTTCCAAAGGTCGTTATGGCAGAACTAGTTAGTTCTTCTTTGCATTCTCGTTCCCGATCTGTCTTGTTAAATCTGTATTTTAATCTTTTCATTCTATCCCAGATATACGATGGGTTTGTGAATTGATTTAATCCATCGCAGAAGTTTTTCCAGTAATCTTGTTTGATTTCTCTCAATCTATTTTTTGCAATAACCGCTGCCTTTTTGTATTCCATAAATGTCTCTTCGGTTTTGCAGTATTTCCATTTCAGCAGTTTGGCTTTCCTAATTCTGGTAACCTTGTCGCATTCATTGTTCCACCATATACATGCTGGTTGTTTTTCTCTGTTTCCAGTTGTTCCATGTCCTCCGTTTCCGAAGTTATTTTGGCTTTTCCTTTTGGGGGTGGTATCTGCTACCTTTCCTTTAATTATCTGGATTAAATGGTCATACCTTTCCTTTACATCCCTCTCTCTGTTCCATCCATCATGGGTCTTAACTTCCCTGATTTTTTCTATAACTTTATCCATGAAGACATTCCAATCTGTGTGTTTATTGTGCAATCTTGAAGCCTTCTTGCTGCACTCCTTTGGCTCTATTTTGCCGTTATACTCAATGAAAATTGGATAATGGTCGCTATTCCATGGGTCTGTTCCAACCTTCCAGGTGTATACTAGTGCTGATCCTGGGTCCACAAAAGTTAGATCGAGGGCGGCATTGGAACCTGTGGCATCGGAGATATATGTCGGGGAGCCGTCATTAAGCAGCGTGATGTTTGTTTCCAATTCAGTGATGTTGTGATACAGGTTGTTGCCTGTTGTACAATTCTTTGAATTACCCCACGTGTGATGGTGGCCGTTAAAGTCTCCTCCAATCAGGAATTTTCCTTTGAATTGTGTGAAAAATTTTTCCCATGCTCTTGGCTCGATTTTCGTGTGTGGCTGCTTGTAACATGACACCATTAAAATTCGATCTTGACCCGTGTGCAGTTCAATTGCACACGCTTCAATTTTGCCGTCTCCATCGTATAAACCGTTCTTACGTGAGTATTTTAGTTTGTTACTTATAAAAATGGCCACTCCGCCGCCGGCTCTGTCGTACCTTTCTTTCCTCACCACATCAAACCCATTTAGGTGTACCCTTTGTGTTTCACCAAGCCAGGTCTCTGATAGCATTATAACATCTAAGTTTCGGCTCCTCTGTTGTAATTCGGGAAGCTTGCTTCTTAGGCTCCTACAATTCCACTGAACTATCTTAATTGGTTGGTACCCTTTGCCTTCCATTGAGATGTTCGTGTAGCTCAATGGCTTTCCACAAGTGTTTGACCATAGCTTTTGAATCCCCCGAGTTTATCACTAAATTGATTATTGTAACCAACACATTTTTGACATCGTCCTCCATCTCTATGGACTCCAACTCGTCTAACGATTTCTCTATCGCATTCTGGCCTTTAGAGCTGTTCCTTTGCTCATTCTTGTTTAAACCAGGGTCAGTAATTTGAGTTCTGCTGTTGTCCGTGTTCATCTTCCATTGTCTTCTCTCCGGATTCCATCCGATCGTTTGGTTCGGGACCTTGTTGTATTCTCTTGATTCAAATATATCCCATTCCTTTCGTCTGCTCGGAGTTTTGAGAACCGGGAAGTTCCTCAAATTTAGTTCAGCATACCCTCGGTGGCTTCCAGCTCCTACTGGGAATGCAGGGCTCGACCACTTTTCTACAATTTTTCGTGCTTCGAAAAATCCAACATTTCTATGTGCCATGATTTGGTTAATTTCTTTCTGTGTTTTAATAACGGGGCACCGCTCGCTGTTTGCTCTGTGGTCCCCGTTGCAATTCATGCATTTTGTAATACAAGTCCCTTCGTGTGTTGCTTCTCCACATGAGAAGCATTGTTTTTCCTTCTTACAAAATTTACTTATGTGGTTGAATTTCCCGCAGTTATAGCACTGTCGTACTGCAGCGACAAACGTGGCGACTTCAACCTTCATACTGCAGAAATACACGTAGGGGGGCATTTCTTTGGTTCTAAACGTCAAACATACTGCTCTCGACTCTTTCCATACCCATCTTTCTACCTTAGTTTCTACATTTATCTCTTTGGTTCTCATCTTAAGTCTAACTGCGTCCATTATATAGAAAGGTGCGGGATGTTTGTTCTGATTGTCCAAATTAATCTGTCGCCTCAAATTTTCTAAATCCATGTCCAAAGGTACATCTTTAATGACACCCTTTTTGGCAACCATATATCTCGGTATGTATGCGGTTAGTCCTTCGCTTTGGAGTATGGGGCTGTCCAACACTTTATTTGCTTCTAGTCTTCCTAAGAAGGTCACTTCCCAAATAAATCGAGCGTACTGTTTAATACATTGGAACCTGATCTTGTGTTTGGACATGACATTGAAGATGTCAAATTGTCCCCACTTCTTCACCTTTTCCCTATCCTTGGTTGGGGAGTCAGGCTTCTTGGCCTTTATGTGAATGCTATACGGCCCTTTATCATACGTATTAAAACGTAAGTCGTTGAATTGCCCATTTCTATTGCTCTTGAAACCTTCTCCTAGCTCTTCTTTTCCAAAGTTTGTATCTTCATTTCTGAGGTCTCGTGCTCCGGATTCTACCGTTTCCGTTCTTCCTTCTTCAGCCCTTTCCTGGATTTCATCCTGATTCTGTATCTCTTTGGACTTCTGATGGCTGTTTGTGCTCTTCTTTCCGACATCCGTTACCAGTTTCCTTGGTTTTTTACGGCTTCTAACGGTGCTAAATTGTGCCATCAGTTCCTCTTCTGACGACAGTTCAGGTCCTGTTTTTCCTGCCACCCTCTTCTTCTGTGTAACCGTCTTATTGTTTATCTCTGCATAATCCACATCCTCCATCACCACTTCTTCCCCTGCTTCGTATAAAGTCAAACTGCCATCTATGATGGATCTACGGAACTATTGAGACATGCACCATTATTGCACGAAGAGGTCGTAACCGGTCGTAATTGACAACATTGACAACGACAATGCTAGTTGTACTGACTGATTCGGTCATACCATTTTTGTTAATTGCGCATGGATTGAGGTAGAAGCAAAAAGTGATTTGATGCAATATGTGACTTATTTCGTGGACAGCTGCAACTAATTTGTAAGTTTTGCCTTTTAGAAATATACCCTCGTTTTTCTTCAGTGCGTATGCTTACAAAATGATGACCGAAACGCGAATTAACTACCATAACAGCAGATTGTAGCTTCTAGTGTTTCATGTTTTCCCAGTGGCTGTTGAGCTTAATGTTGACATATTAACGTTTATAATTACAGTATACACAACAATGAGTGAACAGCTGAAGTACATAGTGAATAAGCTGAACAGGAGTCCGTTTAATAAGAACTTTAACCTCATCTCCTTTGATGCACTAAGTCCTGAGCAGTTAATTCAGGTACATTGATCCAAGGTTTGTGTATGATTGTGAATAACTTCACCCACAGTTCAAGTTTGAAGCTACAATTCAGTGTTCTCTTTCTGTAGATTTTGACCGATGTTCTTGCAGAGGTGGATCCAAATAATAAAGTGGATATTCATGAAGAAGATCCAGAACAAACTACTGTCAGGATACTCGAGATGCTCAGAGTTCTTAAATTTAAGCCTGGTCCAGAAATATCAGCGTAAGTGAAGTAACTGAGGAATAGATAATTTGAGGCCAGAAGTTTGCATAACTTATGGTTTATAATGTTACTTATGATAGAGTATGTTGAAATTGACATGAAGAGTTTGAGTATCCGCCCCTAATTTATCAGGGACATTTTGGGATATCTATCTTTAAGGATCCATAGAGGAGTACAACCATTCCTCTGCCAAAAGTGAAGCTATATAATGTCTGATATTCAAAGTGCAAATAAGTAAATTAAAATGTGTATTACATCATAGACTGGTGTGTTTATATGAGTGCCTTACGTGGCAAAACTTCTCATGTTGATTTCATTTCAGTTGATAGTGAAAATATCGATCAAAAATCAAGCATAATATTTTTTGTCAAGCTTTATTTTCATTGTAAAAATTCAGTTCCTCTCAAAGTTTTTGTTTTAATTTTATATTACAACCAGGACTTTAAGACAATTGGAAAAATGAGTATTCTAGGGTGGGTAGCTAACCAAAGTCCATAGATTGTGGATCATTTTAGAAAAATTATAACATATGCTTCGACCCACTATTTTTTAATGTCAAAATGGTTTTCTTCCTCAGCATTTGGCTGCCTGAGGTATACACGTGTGTATTTTATGAGGTACATATTGGCATGTGCCCAGGTTTCCATGACAAATAATAACAGATTCTGGATTGGATTTATTACCACCTTTTACAATCCCTCTTAATCATGATCAATTATAGTGCTATCGCTAATCTACCTACTTCACAAACGACTAGGACATGCTCCATTCATGTACCCTGTTGTACTCCTACAGTTCTCATTCTCTCTGTTGTACTCTCATTCTGTGCCCTCTTATAATTCCTCGGCATTGACCCCATGTAGAATGCATGTTATGTGCTGTCAAGAATGCATGTTTATTACCTAGCAGCAGTTGTCCACCTATTGTTGAGCGTACAACTTCAGGAATGTTTTTACCCAGACGTTGCCTAGCAATGGTTATATGTGTCACAATATTGTCACATGTTAGAGTGCGTTAGGGTGACTCTCGATGGGGTTTTGGGTTGGATATTGGATTTATTGACCACTTTACTACACAACTTAGAACTACAAGTAATTAGTAATTACAGTGCCATTGTTAATCTCCACACTTTACAAATCACCACGGCACCCGCTGAGTCTTTTCCAGCCTGGTGTGTCTTCACCATCCTTTCCCTGGAAACAGCTTCTATCAGTGGAGAGTCTTCAGCTTCTGCTTTTGAGTTCTCTCTGAATGGCAGCTACCTTCCAACTCCTTAACTAACTATTACTGACTCTTTTCTTCAGACTCTTGTAGATAAATGATTTGGTTGCCTCAGTTGTATCCCTTATAATTCCTTGCCACAGACCACATAGACATCATACATACACATTCTCATACACTGTTAACATGGAAGTGTGTTCGTATCACCCATCAGTGGGTTGTGTAACCCCATTTATTAAGAATCTGCTGCCACAGCAGTCGGCATCATTTCATGACCATTATCCAGCAGTGGGTTGTGTAACCCCATTTATGAAGAATCTGCTGCCACAGCAGTCGGCATCATTTCATGACCATTATCCAGCAATGGGTTGTGTAACCCCATTTATTAAGAATCTGCTGCGGCAGCAATGGGTGTCGTTTCATGACCATTATCCAGCAGTGGGCGTCGTTTCATGACCATTACCCAGCAATGGGTTGTGTAACCCCATTTATTAAGAATCTGCTGCCGCATCAGTTGGCATCGTTTCATGACCATTACCCATCAAGTGGTCTATATGCTGCGGTATGAATAAGGAAGAAGCACCATTTAAGAAAAGAGTCATGGAAGAGAAGCTGTGTTCCATAGGCTTTTGTAGATACAATATTGAACGTTTTGACCCCAGTGAAATATAGAATTTCTGGAGCAGCTGAGTATCACATTTTCAAGGAAAGGCCTCATGGAGTCAATTTCTCTGTTTTAGCAGTCATTTGTAATTTTTATCCAGGACTTTGAAGGTAAAGGATAGTATACATTCTGTTCTGTAAGGGATCTAATGTACATATTGTCAAATGTTAGAGTGAGTATAGATGAGGTTTGAATTGGTAATTGGATTTGTTGAACAGTTATACATATAATTTCTAACTACAAGTAACTATAAATGCCTCACTGGTTTATGCACTCTAAAGATCATTATAACTGCAGTGCACACGAAGTCTTCTGTGTCCTCACTAGTAGTTTCCTGGTAATGGATCTTAACAGTGTTGTCTGATAATGTCTTTACTGGCTGGTGAATATCCCACATCTAACTCATTGCTCCAACTCGCTAACACCCAGGTTGGCGGCCATCTCACACCAACCTTATACTCTTTTCTTGATTGACTGACCAACTGCAGTTCCCAGCTTGTTCCGCTTATAACATCTTGACATGGACCACGTAGAACACACTGCTCCTCAATCATTCCTGTGGGAACACATTTGTTTGTGAAGGCATTACTCACTAACTCTTGTATGTTTGCTTATCTCACAGTAATTGCCTAGCAGCAGGTCTACGTGTTACAGCACTTAGATGTTCACTGTGTTAGATATAAAACATATCAATGTCTGTATTTGATTCTGTGAAGAGGCCATTCTTCTGATGAAAACTGGTAGGACAATCTATCCTTCTCACACCAACTTCTGACCTCAGATTCAGTGTGTATCTGACCTTTTGCTGGAGTGTGAAACATTGCATCCATAGAGGCATAAATTGCTGCTTAGTGAATGTTATGGATAATTGGTCAGCAGACTGACTTTGTATTTCGGAGGTCTGAGGCCTATTGTTAGCCTGGGTTTTGGCTGTCTGTACTGAGCTATACTATTTTTCCTCAGTCCCTCCAGTCTAATTCCAGGATAGACCACATTATTCCTAGTTCATCATTCAGCCCTTCTGTTTGAAATTATGTATAGTTGAAAAAGCACCATTAAAGTAAGAAAGAAACCTGTGTACTGTTACACCTTCATATGGCTTTGTATCCCTACATCTGCATCCTCTGAAGCAAATGCTGTCTGTTGCCTGCATAATGAGTTGCTTAACTGCACCTTGGTGATCATAATTCAGTTTTCAGTGAACAGCTCTGAGCCCTTTTCAGCTGCCAGTTATGTTCTTGCTTTATTTCTTCCATTCCTGATGTCACAGATCACTGTCTTTTGTCATTACATCTGCAGAATATTGCTTCTTCATATCTCTTTTTAATCAGTTTTCATCGTTTTACCTTCCCAGCTCCTTCCTCATGTAATGTAATGATATTAGGAAAGAAGCGCTGTAAATGGTACAGACTTGCAGATTCCCATGTTTGAGAATATTACATTTGTTATTTCTTTGTAGGATTTGAGGCTCTTATCACAGTGATTATGAAGAGTTCTGTCTTCTGGGATATAATGCAGAGCTGCTTGCCACCTGCTTTCATGCTGGTTTCTTGCTTGGCTTATTCTTCATCCCTGAAGATTGAGGTGACATGTTTCCCTGAAACACTGGTTGACTTTCAGCGGTCTATGTGTCATTTCCCAGAAGATAGAACCCTTTGTTATTTCTTTGTTTCTCTTTGTATTCTCCTCATATTAGGGTTCTGAAGGAACCCTGTTAATGAGCTGTGCAGATCTTCATTTTCCTGTCCCTTATTATAGTTGTAGGTATCACCATTATTTACACTACTTGACAGATTTCTTTTATGAAACTCAGTGTGCAAAGTATATCACTACCTTCACATCTGTAGTGTACCATCAACAAAGTTCTGAGGTGTAAGGAATACTAAACCATTCATTATTGTGTGGGATATTTTATATCATGATTGCTATTTCAAAAATATGCAACCTTTATTTTGTTATTGAAAGTTATTAAAAGTACAAAATAAAACCTGTTGACCACAAAGAACATTTTGTTTGGCATGCCTTTGGGACTTGAGATGTTAAATTTGAATGGTGATATTTTGTTAAATATTTAGCAGTTTTGTATGAAGTGTTTGGTGTGTTTATTTGCTGTACTGTTGTGGGTGAAAAGTTATAGTATGTGTAAAGAATGACTCAGATGTGCTGTCACACTTAGGAAAGAAAATTTTGGGCATTATTTTTATAAAATAAATAATATAGGATTTGTCACATTTGTTGAACCTACAAGGCCACATTTTTCAGAACCTTAAAATTTTTCCACCTCAGTAGAAATATCTTTTGATGTGTGTCTTTGAACTGAAAGCCACAGAGTTTGCAGCACTCATTGGGACCAAAGAAACACTGAATTTCACATCCAAAAATAAATGTAGTATGAAATTTCATTCCCTCATTAGTATAACTGTGATCAAAAGCTCTGCTATTGATAGTATGTTTATAGATAAGGCAAGGATAAATTCATATGAAGTAATCTCTATTAGTGATGGACTATCTGATCACGATGCTCAGTGTCTCATACTAAAAAGTATCAATTTCCTGGAGAAGAAAAAATTGCAGGGAATCACAAGAAGATTAGTAAATGAAGTCTTAATTGCTCAATTTCTTAATAAACTATCTAACAAAAAATGGGAAAATATATATAACCTAAAGATTTAATGAAATATTCAACTAATTTTTAAATAAGTATTTACTTATCTATGAGTCATGCTTTTCAAACAGAATGTAACAAATAAACTCAAGGATAATGGCTGGATAACAGCTGGTATACGTACCTCCTGTAGACAGAAGGAATCTGTGTTCATTCTCTGTTGAAACAGTTACAACTATTTGTTTAAATCATAGTATAAATCCTACTGCATGATATTGTAACGTGTTTCGTTACTGAATACGCCGTAGAGATCGTTAATTGGTTTATTGAACAATCTACAAATATCGGCTACAATTAATTATCACAATGTTACGGGTTTCCACACTTTAAAAACCATACAACAAAATCTCTTAACACTATCTTCCAGAGTCTTCACGTATTAATAGCGCGGGAGCTATACGAGTCTCGCTGAATTACACACTCCAACTATAACCGGTTATCACGAATTATCACTGATTCTCGCACACGCGTCTGTAGCTTGTAACTTGCGAACTGAGAACTCGTTGATAACACACTGACACTCACTTGCTGCTCAGCCGGCTTTTATTCCGTTCGCTGTTGCTAGGGTCACCCACGACGTCACTACTTTGACGTGGCATATAGCCTAGCAACGCTGCTACCTCGCGCCGTCTTACGTCACCGCGCGTTGCGCGTTACGTCACCGCGGAGTGGGTGGGGGGAGGGAGCGCTACGTTACCGCCACGTGCCGCTGGGGAGGTAGGGGTCCTCCGTTGCGCAACATGTCACAATATTAAGAAGAGCAGTAAAAGAAGCTAAAAGGAAATATTATAATCAGTTAATCACATCAGCTGAAGACAAAATAAAAACTACCTGGAACATTATCAACACTGAAACAGGTAAGACTAACAAACAGAATAAAGAACATCTACCACAGACTTTTCAAAATAATAATAAAAAACTAAATACTGAAGAAGCAGCTCATAGTTTTAATAAATATTTCACAACAATAACAGAAAGTCTTAATATTAAGAAAACTAATATTTATACTGCAATGTCATACTTGCATTCCCATTTCTCAAATGGTATTCCAGATATGAATCTTAATTTAGTTGCAGAAGAGGAAGTAATTAGTATAATTAGCAAATTCAAATAAAAAAACTCTTCAGGGTATGATGGCGTAACAAATAAAATTATAGAACTGTGCAGACAACAAATCAATAAACCTCTAACTTATGTAATTAATAAGTCATTAACCATGGGTCTATATGCAGAAAGATTAAAATATGCAATTATTAAGCCAGTATACAAAAAAGGGGAAAAGGCTGTTGTAAGTAACTACAGGCCAATATCTATAGTAACTGGGTTTGCAAAAGATTTTAAAACAGCAATTTTTAGAAGATTGAATGATCATATCTTAAGGCATAAAATACTACTTTCAGAGCAGTATGGATTCCAAAAGGGATTATCAACTGAAGATGCAGTGTTTAAATTAATCAATGTAATACTTACAGCCTGGAATAGAAAAGACTATGTAACTGGTATATTTTTTGACATAGCCAAGGTCTTTGACTGCATTAATCATGATCTTCTATTAATGAAACTGCAGTGCTATGGAGTGCAGGGTGTATTATTGCAATGGTTTAAATCTTACCTCCAATATAGGAGGCAAAGAGTGGAATTAAATTATATAAATGACAAATATTATTCTAACTGGGGAATTGTTGGATGTGGTGTGCATCAGGGATCGGTGTTGGGACCTTTACTCTTTAATATATACATAAACGATTTCCCCCTTGAAATAAGTAAAATTTTGGAAGTTATTGTATTTGCAGATGACACAAGTATTCTTTGCACAGCTAAAGACTATTATAGTTTAAAAATAAAATTGGATGTTGTTTTCAATCATATGTTTTTGTGGTTTCCAAATAAAACAAAAAACAAAAATGATAAAATTCACCCCAACAGCAGCTATGAGCTACCCTCTCTGTACATTCTTTTTTAACAAAAAGCTGAAAGAAGTAGAAACGATAAAATTTCTTGGTTTGCAGCTGGGCAATCATCTGACTTGTAAGGGACATATCGATTTTTTGCTTCATAAGTTGAGCACAGTGGTTTTCTAATGCGTAAACTATCCTATATATTAAATATAAATAGTCCTAAAGCTGTATATTATGCATATTATCATTCACTGGTGAAATACGGAATAATATATTGGGAAAATACATCACACACTCATAAGGTCTTTGTTATACAAGAGGAAATAATAAGAATAATGATGGGAGTGGGCCCAACTCATACATGTAGTGGTTTATTTAAAAAGCTTGACATACTACCAATCCCATGTGTATATTTGCTTTCATTGATGACATTTGTTGTTAATAATTTGGATAAGTTTCAAACCAATAACTCTGTCTATGTCTTTGGTACCAGAAGGAATGACCACCTTCATATACCTTCAACACATTTATCATCCTATCAGAGAGAGGTGTATTATCCAGGCATCAAGCTATTTAATACTCTGCCATCAAACATCACAGTTTTAAAGAAGGATAAAAGCAAATTAGGTTTGTTTTACAAAATTATTTGCAAAGTAACGCATTTTACTCAATTGATGAATTTGTCGAGCAAGTGGCTCAGAAGTTAAGAGTTAATAAGTGGTCTGTGTGCATGAATTATACATTGTTGAGACTTGCTTGTTGTAAGTGTAGTAGTATGTATGATGTCTGTTTTTGTTATGAATTTTAATGTTTTATAATATAACCATTTGGATGATATGGCTTGCCAGTGCGTGTGGAATGGCAGGGTGTGAATTTGATTGTGGTTTTTCAATGACGTATATGTGTTGTCCTGATAATTTGCACTATTCTGTCTCAGGCTTGATTTTATATTTTATTGGACCAAGGATGAATGATGTGTAGTCATCATGAATTTGTAATATGTGACATGTTTTATATCCAGCCCTACGGGGAGATGATTGGATACATGAAATGATAAATAAATGTAAATGTTAAATGATATAATGATACAAACTCCGTCCCAAGTGCAAACAATATATTATGTGTCCTTGATCTTGTTCACCCACACTACATGTTTCGGCCTCAGACGGCCATCATCAGGTGTATAACACTCACGTCGCTGTCACACTGCACTCAGCCCAAAATTTAACATTTAAAACACTTTCCTTGTTATTATCAACATCTACTTCGTTGATATCTGTCTGGATGTAGATCACTTTACACACATTAATTCTGACGTACCTGTAGTAGCACTATAAAATCTTTAGTTCTAATTTTAAAGGATTTTAAAATTAGAACTATAGATTTTATAGTGATACAAACTCCGTCCCAAGTGCAAACAATATATTATGTGTCCTTGAACTTGTTCACCCACACTANCAGTGTGACAGCGACGTGAGTGTTATACACCTGATGATGGCCGTCTGTGGCCGAAGCATGTAGTGTGTGTGAACAAGATCAAGGACACATAATATATTGTTTGCACTTGGGACGGAGTTTGTATCATTATATCATTTATCGTATGGAGTGCAACAGGATGCTTAAATATAATAAATGTAAATGTAAATGTAAATCCTTTCGTATCTTTTTCTTTGTTTCAGGGCTGTGTTTCGCCATGGTCTTATCCAAGGGGATAAACATATTGTCCATCCAATACTAGAATGGCTGTTAAAGAATATGGATGATCTGAAAGTGAGGGCCTACTTGGCTCAATATTTGGTGAAAGTGGAAGTGCCAATAGAGATATTAAGTGACACAGATGTCTCTGCATTATATGAACAGGTATAACCGTCTTATAAGTCTAGGATTTAGTATGTTTGAAGGTACGAGTAGATTTTACCTTAATTTTCAGTTTAATGTATACTGTATTTCATAACTTATGGTGCTTTTATAGGGTTGTATTTTCTTTCCAGAAATATTCTATAATGTTATAGTGTAGGTCATGTTTTTAAGGTTTGCTCTTATCAGCTCCGAAAGTTTTTGCTTCCAGGATGTTTTGGATCAAAGAATGAAGATCACTGCACAACTTGATTGTTGTAATAATCATTTCAAGTGTAATTGATAAATGTGCATTGTAAGTGAAATGTTTCTTGTGATGAGTGCATTAGTATAGTTTCAGTTCTGCATATTCCAGGAAACTTTATTTTGTTGTTATAAGCAGCACACTTTCCCCCTGGCTTATAAGTAACTGGTGGAAGAGAAACAATTGGACTGTTGCTGGAAAAGAACAGTGTTTGTTCAAAATGTGAAAAATTGAGACACTGGTGTTACTGCATAATCATGCCACCTAGCAACCAATCCAGCAACTGCCTGAAAAGCAACAAAAGTTCCTGATAAAATTGAAGTTGAAAAATCACATGTTCTGAAAGAATAACTTATGTTCATAAGTTTTTCTGGAAAACAGCAGATGTCCAAGCATTCTTCCTGCAGAGCAGCAGATGTCCTTTAAGGTACTGGCTGATACTTTTTCCGTGAGTCAGTCATGTTTCAGATGGATTTATGAACACTTGGAAAATTAAGGATGCTCTTCAAAGGATATGCATTGTAGGCATGTGAATAGACCACAAAAGACAAAGCCAGAAATTCTGGGTGTGATTACCAAATGCGTATCCTCATTTTCAACAAGGCAGAACCATTACATGCATAAGAAATTAGAGATAAGGTGTTTTTGAATTGAATTTATTTACATTCTATAAATCCTAAGCAGGTTAGTACCTTTGGATACAGAACAAGTCAAAATGTTACATACATAAGTATGAAGGGGGACCCAAAAATAACCGGAACCGACCTGTTGTGCGCGCATGCTTTGTAGTTACGAGTTGTGCTGCTAGGTGGTGTTAGCTGGGGGTCTCCTGTGACTGTTAGTGAGCTGGCGTCAGTCTGAGTTAAGTGGTTTGTCTGTGGTGCTCTGTTGTGTGCGTTCCTGTTTCAACCCTTTGGCGATTAGTGAGAATGGCATTGTCCACAAAGAGTTTGTTCCACCAGGACAAACAGTGAACCAACATTTTTACCTGGATGTGTTACGAAGATTACGAGAGAGTGTGCGATGAAAATGGTCCAAAATGTGGAGAAATGGGAACTGGTTGCTTCACCACGACAATGCTCCAGCCCGTCTCATGTGCAAACCTTCGGTTAAAATTCGCTGGACCGTGCTCCATGAGATGTTCGTTTCCTCAGAAAGTTGGTCAATGGTCTTTCGACACTCTTTGTTCCTTCTGGTCGGCCATCTCACTAATCGCCAAAGGGTTGAAACAGGAACGCACACAACAGAGCACCACAGACAAACCACTTAACTCAGACTGACGCCAGCTCACTAACAGTCACAGGAGACCCCCAGCTAACACCACCTAGCAGCACAACTCGTAACTACAAAGCATGCGCGC